AGCCCACGGTCACGGCACCATGGGGCCTTGTCTGCACTAGTCCCTCTTGCCTTGATGTTTCCCAGCTGCCGGGTCTCTCTCTCCTTTGCCCCAGGGCCCCGACAAAGCCCGCTCTCAGCTGCTGATCGTGGACTGGCGCTTCAACCTGGTGTCCCCACTGCTGCACGAGCTCACCTTCCAGGCCATGGCCTACGACCTGCTCAGCATCAAAAATGACACCTACAAGTAGGGCCTGGCTGCCAGCAGGGGGCGCCCTGCACTCCTCAGGCGGGCTGGTGGGGATGTGACCCAGGCACCGGCACTGCTCCATAGCCCCTACGCTCGGGGGAGGGGTGCCGCAGCCTGACTCCCACTGCCACTTATGGGGAGGAGAGGCTGCCCTGCTGCCTTAAGAGGGGGTTGGTGTGGGGAGGGGGGGCTGTCCCATTGCTCCCAGGGTTTGCCTGTAAAGGGCTAAGAGGTGTATGTGGAGCCCCCTGCCCCCCAGCTAGAGCTCTGGAGCTCCCGACGGTGGGGGAGGGCGGAGGCCCATGGGGCGGGGTCAGACAGCAGGATCGGGGCCGCGCAGGGAGAGCTGCAGGGAGCCAACGCGGGCATCTCCCTGGCCCGCTGCCGCTTTACACCTCAAGGGTTGCTCGGGTTGCGGGGCTCCTGGCTCTTTCCAGCAGGCCTGGGAAGAGCAGGTCTAATCCAAGCTGTAGCCATGCCAGGCCTGTGCTACCCGATTTTGAACATGGCGTGAGTGACCCACCCTGACCCTGGTACGCGTGGCTGGGCTGCTGCGGCTGTCCCCAGGCGAGGCCTCTGCCCTGCAGGGGGCTCCGGACACTGGGAGGGGCCGGGATCTCACCACCACCACCCTCTATGGGGGAGGGGGTGTCCAAGAGCCTGGAGCCCTGGACCCCTCTCATCATGTCCCCTGCACCCCAGCAGTCCCTCAGCCCCCGCTTCGGGCAGTGCCCACCCCTCCGCCTGGCATTCCCTCAGCGAGCCCCTGGTATCCACACTGCTCCTCTCTCCCCCCAGCGCCCGCTTCAGGCATTGGCACAAGAACAAGGCAGCGGCCGAGTACTGGATGGGCCCGCGCCTCATCATCTACGTGCTGGGTGGGGTGTCCATGTCTGAGATGCGCTGCGCCTACGAAGGGCAAGTGGGAGGTTGTGATCGGTGAGTGGGGTGAGTCCTGGGGGAAGGGCGGCTGGAATGCCCAGGTCAGGGACAGTCGGGACCCCCTGGGAGGGGGAGACCCTAGAACTGCCTGCCTAGCACCCACAGGGCGCCCATGCTACCTTCTGTCCTCCTGCACCCGGGGGCCTGGGAACAGATGCGCTTGCCACACCTGTCCGCAGCCCCACATCGCCTGTATCTGGCTACCTGATCTCCTGGCCCCTGGCTCCCCAGGGCTCTCCTTGCCCAAGGACCATGTCAGACACCCCCAGTAACACCCACAGGGATATGGCTCATCCCCTTCACACACCCAAGCTTCAGTTGTGGAGGAATTTTCCACAATGGAGTGAATTTTAGGGAGAAAGCACTACATTCTTCCTTGTGATAAGCGGGCATGTGCCCCACTGAAATCCACAGAAGCTATGCCATTTTATGCCAGAGCTGGATTGGGATCAAGTTCTTACAATGGAGTTGACATTACTTGGACCGGCAAGAAAATCACCACTGCAGTAGCCAAATCCAAGAGAACCAGTTGAAACTGATCACTTCTTCGAAGAGGAATTCATTACTATTGAGTTAAGCCCTGTGTATGGAAACTCATTCAGAGGAGACTTCCTGTTCCTCAGACATGAACAGAATATCTTGAAGAGCTGAGGGGTGGGGAGTTTGTTGCACCTTCAGTATAAAAATGAAGTTATAAAAGGAGCTAGGCTGGGGGGACTTCTCTGCTCTTATTCAAATTAATAAAAAGAAATGCTCCTCTCTGTCATTTTGCCACTCGATGTGGGAGAAGTTGCCCAGGAAACAGACCACAGCAGCAGACATCAAACAGCATGCAAAGTGCTAGACAGCTCCCATCAGACAGTCTACAGCAGACATCACATACACAGGCCCAGATTCATCTCTCATGTAACTCTTTTGGCTTCAACCACCAGAGGTGAATCTGGTCCCTGGGACTTGTATATCTAAGGGGCTCTTCCATTAGACATGTAATTCCTTTGCTACACCGAGGTCAGATGCTTTGGAGAGCGATTTCAGTGACAATTAAACCTGTTGAAGAGGAACGTTTGGGAGGGATTTTCTGGTACTAACTCTGTCCATTCCCCTGCTCTACCATCAGCTACTAAGGCCATGGTTCAGTTCAGGGAAGGAGTGGGAGAGAGAAAGGGCCTTGCAGGCCAGCACCCAGCTGCTGACTGCCTATCGACACACAGTTAATAGCACAGTGAGTATAGCCTTACTCTTCCTTGAGCTGACTTCCCTGCTTATATCAGATCTGACACTCAACGCAAATGCATGAAAAACTCAAGGTGACTAAGATCCCCCTGCTTCCAGAAGAGAGAGGTTTACACAACAATGCTGTGACTACACTCCGGGCAGACTGCAAGAAGTAGAGGGCAGACAATCCTCCAAACGGATTGCTTATTCTATAATTAGATTCACCAAGTCAACAACAGAAGAGCTCCCACCCTAGTTAACAAGATGCCAAACGCAGTCCCCTTTTGGCAGTCCAGACCTTAGCTCCCATCTAAACATCCATGTCTTGGAAGAAGGGGGAGGGATAGCTCAGTGGTTTGAGCAGTGGCCTGCTAAACCCACCGTTGTGAGTTTAATCCTTAAGGAGGCCATTTAGGGAAGTAGGGTAAAAATCTCTCCAGGGATTGGTCCTGCTTTGAGCACGGGGTTAGACCAGATGACCTCCTCAGGTCCCTTCCAACCCTGATATTCTATGTCTAATATAGTGAGGGGTTACTGAAAACCTGGCTCACCATATGTGAGGTTCACTGATCATAAAGGACCAGATGCTTATCCCCAGGTCAATGTGAATCTCAGGTCTTTCCCAAATATCATGTTGTCAGCCAGTCCTTAATAACGAAATCTAAGATTTATTGTTAAAAGAAAGAAGAGAGTTATGCATGGTTAAAAGATCAATATCCATACAAGTGACTTTCAGTGTTCATAGTTCAGGATCACAACAGTGATGGAATAAACTGCTGGTTTGTAAAAGTCTCTCTGGAATCATCCCAACAGATCAGAATCCAAAGGCAGCTCAGATGTAAAGTCTGTTAGTTTTTTCCATGCATTTTCCAGGTTATTCCAAATGATTATTTGGAAAATCTCTGTCCTATGGCTTACACTTTCCCTGTTCAGAGTTTAAGCAGACTAAAGATGACAGGATCAGGCCCAAGCCTTCTCTTTTATAGCTATTCTAGCAGGCTGACAAGCCGACCTCACAGAAATTGTCACAGAAGAACCTTCCCCCAGTGCAGATTGCCTGTTGTACTTTGCTTTGAAGATAATCTTCTATTATCATTCTATTAACACAGTAAATTAGTTACATTCCTTCACATAAGGTAATTAGCCGTTCTTCCATTATAACACAGATAGTTAAGCTGAAGATAATGTAGAAATGATTGGTTTCCTGAAGTGTCTTACATCTTTGATTTTCAGGTTAACTGAAGACCTTGCATACATAATTAAGGCAATTAAGACATGAAAGGGAATTAGCATCTACAAGCTAATTTGGTTACATTGTGAAACTTCTAACTGGCTGTGCTGCAGAGACGCTGCGGGTCGGACAGTTGCTCTGGAGGTGGCTACACGCTCTCGGGCTCTAGGTGGCAGGACCCTTTTTTCCAGCATTGCCTCTGCCCGATTGGGGTTATGATCCCACTTCAAGTCTGGCCTGCAAGGCCTCTTGGTGGAGGTGTCTCCCTGTGCTGGGCCCACTGCCCAGGGTCCCCCTCGCTCTCCCCAGCTGCTCACCGCACCCAGCTCTGGACGGCTCCAGCCCTGGCTCCAGCTCCACTCGGCCTCAGCCCGGCTGCTGCTGCTCTGCCTCCAGCTCCCTGGGCTACTTGTCTGGCCCCTCTGGCTCTGGTTGCTGCAGCTCTGCTCCCAGCTCAGCTCAGCTCAGGCCCCTGCTCTCCCCTTAGCTCGGCCCCACCCTGTCTGACCCAGGCCATTCCAGCTCACACGGAGGACGGGACCCCCTGGCCTCCTGACTCTCTGATTAGCTGCCCGCCCTGTCAATCAGGCTGACCTGGAGCATTGGCCTCTCCCCATTGTTCCTGGGGACTGTCAGTCTCAGACTCCTGATTTGCCATCGACCCCTCCCCTTTTAGTGCTGGGAGCTAGTCACCAAAACCCCCCCACTGACTGTTAGTAAGGGGGCAACAGTCTCCTTACCCCTAGAAGGGTTGGGGCATCTTGCCTGGGGATCTATAAGGAAGGTGAAGGTGAAGGTGGGGGTGGTAGGGGGCCGAGGGTGCTGGGCTGGCTGAGAGGGGGCGGATCTGGCCCGGGATGCCCATGTTCTCCTCACACCTCATTGCAGTGAACCTTACGCCCGGTTCTACGCTGCTCAGATCGTCCTGATCTTTGAGTATCTGCACTCGCCGGATGTCATCTACCGAAACCTGAAGCCAGAGAATCTCCTGATAGACCAGCAGGGCTACGTCGAGGTAACGCTGCCGCCCCTCCCTCACTCCTTCCCTTCCCCATCCCAGCACTGGCTCCTGGCTCCCTGCAGTGACTTCCTCCCTGCCCAAATCTCTCTCCTGCCATCCCCTTGCCAAAGCCAAGACACCCCAACACGGCCAGAATACATCAATCATCTGCTCTTCCCCTTCCCCTCCTGCTGTCACAGCCTCCGGGCTGATCCAGCTTCTCCCCTCTCTGTGTTTTGGCTCCAGGTGACGGATTTTGGTTTTGCCAAGCGGGTGAAAGGCTGAACCTGGACTCTGTGTGGGACCCCGGAATACCTGGCCCCCGAGATCATCCTTGTCAATGTGAGCTGGGGAGGGCCTGTCCGCTGCTTGATCTCTAGCTGATCCCTGGTCACCAGGTGGTTCCTCCCGCCCCCCAAACGTTCGGTGCGTGACCCTGGCCTGCTTTCGCCGGGCAGGGTTATAACAAGGCTGTGGACTGGTGGGCCCTGGGCATGGGGAAATCTGAGCTTAGTCGCTATGTGCTACTGTAGCTCTTTCAGTTAATTTCCTCAGGTGGAAAAACCCTCCCTGTCTCGCCCTCTTCACTGCAGAGAAAAGCTTGAACCAGGTGACTTTTATAAGTTCCTATAGCAGGAAGTGAATAAAAACACCCTGCCAGCTAGTTATAAAATCTCATGATTTTGAAGCCAATCTCAAGATTTGGTTTGAGGCCCATCATTATTTTTTTCACCAGTTGGGGTTGGCATCACTGCAACTACAGCAGCAAGGCAAATAGCCTTCCTACTTTGCCCAGTTTCCGCTTTGCAGCATTTTCTCTGGTCTCTGTTGCTGTCTGTCTATGGGCAGATCTCCCTGTTTGTCTGGTGTGGGTCTTGAATGA